ATCGGACTTTAAACATAATAGTATTACTCAAGGTTGACAATAATTATTACTCACTCTGTCCCATCACAATTTTTCTCATTTTCTTTTTCTGTTCGTCCCATTATAATTGTCACATACCATATTTGGTAATATTTATATGGCTGTAATTCATTCTTACTTTATTACCACTTTATCAATTCATTATCAACCACATAACTCTACTTTTTTAAAAAATTATATTATTCTCCTTTATCTCAATCTTAGGGGATGATGGTAGTAATATTTAGAAAATAAAAATATGGTATTCCTAATTTAAAATTTCAAAATGTTTTCTTCTATTTCAGGTATTTTCCGTTTAGTTATTACGTGCACGGAGGGGTTGCGTAAATTACATGGTACAGCCGGCTGTACCGTGTGCACGGTACAACCGGTTTTTTTTGTAATTACTCTGCGCTGCAACTCATCTGCGACGAAGGACATCGACGAAGACGGAACATCGACTGCTCAGGTCTCCAACTTGCGAAGCAGCCCAAGCTGCACATACTCCGACCGATTTGGCGCATCGAAACATGGCTTCGCTTTTGACATGAAATTCAGATTCTTCCCACTCCTGTTTCCGCGCTGGCTTATAGAAAGAAGAAGGCAAAGGAGTTGAAAGCTCTTCGTGGATTCTTCATATTGTATAGAAATGAGTTTAATGTTAAAGTCAAATGACATAAGACATGAGTTTTTATGTTAAACTCAAATGAGTGTCGCGCCCAAAATGAATGAGCATACATAAATGAGCTTTTAATTTTTTTTTTACTCATTTTGTAAGTTACGTAAGCTCATTTGGGTTCGCTTTATGCTCATTTCAAAGGATTGCACATTTCAAACATATCATACTACATTAGAAATGAGTTTTATGTTAAATTGAAATGAGTATAACGTCCAAAATGAATGAGCACATACAAATGCGTTTTTGATTTTTTTGATACTCATTTTGTAAGTTATGCGTGCTCATTTGGTACTGTTTTATGCTCATTTTATAAGGACTAGCTTTCAAGCCCGTGCGATGCACGGGCAGTATGAAATTTAGCTAATTTGAAATTTGATTTCTTTCGGATCATATGTAATGCGGTTTAAAAGAAAAATAAACTTAGTCTAATATAGAGCCTACTTGATAATACTAAAATAAATTGAATTAACTTATTTTACTAAAATTGATTAAATTCTGGCCGAATGAGCTGAATAGGTGGAATCTCCTGAATCATGAAAAAATATGTAAAATATATTCCATTTGTGAAGCCAAGAAAAGATTATATGAAAATAGTTAAATTGTTGTTCTACATAAGCATCTCAGGTAAATATAATTGTTATGAACCCGATTTCAAAGAATTCATAATCTCACGTCCTCTAAATTACTTTATTATGCACTTCAAGTTTTTTTCATCTACTATTCCTCATTCAACTTGATGTGTAATACTGAGTGCATACTTTGAACTTTTAATAATAGGATGTTACATTTTACTCATTATTTCGTCACACTGTAAATGTAAAAGATGAAGTTTTTTTAACATTTTACTCATTATTTCGTTACATTGAAAACAATTTTTAATTGTTATGAGCATCTAAATTACTTTATTGAGCATTTCAAAATAATACTTTTCTATATTTCTCATTCAACTTGGTATGAAATACACATTTCAAAATTTTAATTGTGAGATCTTACATTTTACTTATTAATAAGGACGATTTTAATTGAATTAAAATTTTGGGTTTGATTTGGTATGAATTAATATGGTCTTGTAGATGTTTGTTTTACATTTTATGTGACTTATTATTATTATTATTAAAGTTTGATTTGATCTTATTTAATCTGGACCTGAAATCAATCCAATTAAAAAAATCTATTAAAATAAAAGTAGGAATTCGTAAACATATAAAGATTTTCTAATTTGGATTAGGAATCTATTTCAAAAGTGAAGACACATTTAAATTGTAGTTGTAAAATAAATAAATAAATAACAAAACATATTTACTTTTTTGGCTAGGCCTAAACGTATTTACTTGTGAAAATATACATGCATGTATGTATTTATGTATGATATCAATTTTCATCCTTATTAAATAAGGTAAGTTACTTGATCAGTATTCTTTTTAAGATTTTATATTAGAATATCTAATAGTTTTAATTATGTTTTTCATATTAGAATATCTAAACGTATTTACTTGTGAAAATATACATACATGTATGTATTTATGTATGATATCAATTTTCATCCTTATTAAATAAGGTAAGCTAATTGATCAGAAGTATTCTTTTTAAGATTTTATTATATGGTGGTTATAATTTTTATCATTATTTTAATAATTAAGAAAGAATTGTATGAAGATGGAGCAAAATGTGAAGTACTAAGACAATTGCAAATCTGGGGCTTAGAATTTTAATCATTATCTCAACATTGAGTTCAGAAAAATAAATATTACATTTTAGGAAATGGGACACTATTATTACATTTTTATTTTTATCAAATTACTTTGAAGACAAAATTAATAGCAATTTGGCTGATTTATCTGTTGAGCGAGCATAAAACGAATACTCCATCTCTTTAATAGAATATAATAAAAAATAAACAAGTATAAAATAATTAAATGATTGTTACTCCGTGAGTCCGTGCTTAAAATTTGGTTATTAATTGTTGTGGTTCCAATTACACAATTTAATACTTATCGAATATGTAATGGGTTTTGAAAAAGTTACCAAATTAATTAAGGTGGATTTCTAAGGATTTTTGTTTCTATATCAATATGCAATCAAAAATAGAATCTAGCTAATAAAAACAGAAGGTATAAAAACAGAAGGAATAAAAATAATTAAATATAATGACATGGCAAGATTATGTGGCGCGTCGTATGCTCTTAAAAAGTTCCTCTTATATATATATATATATATATATATATATATATATATATATTGATTGCACATTTCAAACATATCATACTACACTAGATTCACATATTGAAATTAATTGAAATTGATTATACACATAACTTAAGACTTTTTAATAAACGAAAAAATAATAAACAGAAAGTGATATATAAGGTATGAAGCAGAGATCACTAATGCCCACCGTTAGGCTCCTAATACTCAAAAGAATAGGCTTGATGCTCATCAAAATTGCATAAATGCTCATTTAAGAGAATCCGCAATTTTCACAAAAATTACAAGTTTGCCACCGACTGTACAGTGGTCACTGTGGCCGGCTGTACAGTACACGAATCGGAGGAGTTGTGCACTTGTGCCTCATTCCTTTTCAAGATAAGCACACACTTCGGTACATATTTAAATATACATGATAATAGAGTAAAGGGTCAGTTTGGTTCTCGAAGTTGCAAAAAGGGTGTCAAATAAGTCCTTATATGGAAGATTCTGTCCGGACGTGCCATTTGAGGTGGCTCCCAGTGGAATTTTTTGATAAAATTTATTGAGTATCTTATTCATTAAGTCTAGTTTACTCATACCAAATTTCAACTAAAAATTCAATCGGGAAGACATTCAAATGAATTCTTTAAGATAACTGCGTTTTTAACGACACAAAAATTCATATGAATGTCTTCCCGATTGAGTTTTTATCTGAAATTTGATATAAATAAACTAGACTTAATGAATCAGATGCTCAAAAAATTTCATCAAAAAATTCCACTGGGAGCCATCTCAAATGGCACTTCCAGACAGAATCTTCTATATAAGGACTTATTTTACTCCTTTTTTGCAACTTCGAGGACCAAACTGACTCTTATCCCCATGATAATATAAAGGCTTATTTGTAAATTGTAATGATAACCTGTTAATTACTTGCTAAACAAAATTGACAAGGACAAATGCATAAACACATTCGTCCATACGTAACTTCCTCATTCAAAAAATAAGTGCTTTGTTCATATTAAGGGTGAATATCATTGTATATTTGTATGCAGACTTGGAGAGTACATTGTCTTGACGCAGACATGGTGGTTATACACTATACTACGTATATTACATGGGTAGATGACTAAACAAAGAAAAATAACTTTGCTAAAAGATTCCTTTGATTTAAAAAATATATATTACTGAGTAGATTTCTTGACTAAACAAAGAACTTTAGGGGATGCATTGATTTTTAGACAAAAGAAGTAGAAAGAAGTTTTTTAAGAACGGAGAGAACATTGATTTTTCAGGACTCAAAGATATCCATCCAATCAAAAATATTTCGTGGTTTTACATGCTCTTCTTAGGGGCAAGTTTGACCACCCTGATCTCCCGACTCCGCCCCGGTTTGAAAGCGGACAGAGTGATTAAATCGATTTTGTAGGATCGAGTTCCGCTTCCTCCCGAACTCTACCGGGACCCAAAAACAGCCCATGTCCACGCAAAACAAGCCTCACAGACTCAGAGTGCATAAACAAGCAAGCAGTTAATTTCTAGGTAAAACTGAAAAAACAGAATGGGGTATGCCCTCTGCTTCTGCCAATCTAATCGGCTTTTCTTTGTTGGCTGTTAGGGCCATATGCACCCCCACCCCATGTGCCCAGCCTACCCCACCCATCGTTGTACCCACTCATCTCATAAAACTATAACCCGCATTTGATATTTCATCATTCATCCATGCCTCTTTGAACTGTTTAGCAAAAGCATCATCAATGCCCAGGTTCGTGTCTTACGAGCGGGCTTATCACATCTTCCTGTTTAATCAGTCCGTTAATCACACTTTAACTATTACATCAATGGAATAAATACACTTATACACCTAAGCAAGTAAGTAGCTCAGGAAACAATTGTAATTTGTATATACCCTCCCCCTCATTCTGACAAACTAATGTAACATCAAGAATTAAATCATATGGGGCAGACCGAGAAAGTGACCACTTACCTATATCCCCAATTCCCCACCAATACAAATCAAACCTCCCAAGCCTACTTGATTGGCAGTTTGGCACTTCCATTACAATTACTAGTATAAATTTATAATTAGACCATATCCTGAAATGTCTAAGATAAAGATAATGGTACTTTTGCTCACACATTTTAGATTTATTTCCTTTAATTATTTGCTGAAAATACAGTTTCAAATACTTTATCTTAATTCTCTCATTCATTCAGCATGTTCAGTACTTCAGTTACATATTCAATTCTTGCAACCAAATTGGCCCCTACCTATCAGCCGTCATGGGTTTCTTTGGAGCCCAAAAAATGCTAGGAGGGAAAGAACATAGAAAAAGGAGGCGATATTTGGAATTAAAGACTACTTGGCAAAAGGTAAAACAACAACATTACCCCAAAACCGCAAAGGCTCCCACCAAAGGTGGGGTAAGGAGAGTCAGATGTATGCAGCTTTACCCCTGTACTAAAGTAAGCACAAACACTTCAGTGAGTCATTTTGCTTTATTTCATCATATTCCCAAGACAAAAATAGCAAGTTTTTGGCTCAATTAAAAATGCTGGAAATACTTAGCAAAAGGTAAGACCGTAAGAGATATATTTTTTTCACACGTTTTACCTGTGTATTCCAGTCATATAAAGATCAAGAAGTCAATAACTAAATGAACGTGTTTGTGTATAGTAAAAAAAACACTGGAGAATAAAGGTTTTAGTTTTGGTGATTAAAGAACAAAGACAACAAAGAAACATACAAATTTTATCAAACTTATTCTGCATTACGTAAGTTACTGGAAGTCTGGAAATAGCCCTATCCAGAATGCATTATTATCATCAATCTGCTCTTTCAATGAACTGACGTACAAATCACACAACTAGCGAAACAGAAAGACAAAGGCCCTCAAATCAAAGGACAAAATAACTAACCTAAACAGGTGAAACCGCTAATACTTGGAGTATGAAATAACAACACGGTTCTTATAATATAAGCCAAAATAACATGAAGATATTTCACATAAATAGAAGTGTAAGAACATGCTTCCCATCAAGATTGTGTTTTGTTCACATGGGTGTACTCCAGAGTAATACTTTATAAAAGAATGAGGCAATAGAAAAGATTATTATTAGAAATAATGACGGATATTTGACTATGTAGTATAATAAAGACGATAGATAAAAACATGACTTTTTATACTTTAGTGACCATAGGAATAACTTTAGTCATCGTGAATATGTTCAAAAATTTACATTGAAGTAACATTGAAGTTACATAGTAACTTCAGTCACATTTTTTCCAGAACACATTTTTTGACAATATATATTATATATGGAAAAACCTCTTATTATTATTATCATTAAATGAGTGATGAGCATAAGCAATAAATGTGATCCAAATGACCAAATATAATAGCAAGAACATGGCAATGCTTAGAACAATTATGAATACTGAACCTACCCCAGATTCCCAGTTGGTGAAAAGTCCTATTCTAAGACCAGATAGGTTTCTTGCCTAACTCATTACCTAATGTACACCACTAATTAATTATAAGTGCCATTAATATCTAACAGTTCACCATCAATACACATGAAAAACATCTCTTCGATGCTCAATTTAATTCACTATTCAGAACAATCATGAACTGATTTTCATAAATTGAAAACAAAAAATGCAAAACTTAGGTGAACAATATACATCATTTACTGTATAGAATAGAATATACCATCAAAATCCAGTTTTCTGAGAATCGGATGCCCTAGGATAACCCTCATACTCTAACTTAACGTTGAGGGTGGCACAGATAGCACGGAACTTCATCCTCAAGGACTCCATAGTATCAGTAACAGATTCATTTTCGGGGTCAGATATAGGGTACCTTTGGAGCAATTCATCAATCTGTTTGATGTTTTTCTGAACACGAGTCGAGAAACAGGTTGGATCTAGCCGGATTGCGGAGCTCCACACATCGACACAGCCTCTGTAGAAGCCCAATTCTAAGCCCGTTTCAAAGCCAGTTTTTAGGCCTACCTGACGACCTTCCTCAACACCGGATGATAGGCCGTCAGCATAACCATCGGTGTGTCCTTGTTTGTAATAGATGTCCTCTACATTCAGAGATGAGTCGAAGATGTCCTCCGTTGTATTGCCCGTCTGGGATTCCATGCCTCAAGGAGAAGCAGTGGCTATAAAGTCTGTCAGGCAGCACCAAGTCCCTATAGATTCCAGACGTCCTCCTCCTGTTATATGTATGTTAATTCAGGAAGAAAACTGACCACGAGTATCGCCTCGCAACAGTGCCAAAAAGAAAGTTTTAAATACGATTTGGGATCAGAAGCTAGCACAAGCCATGACAATCATTCTAGACAATGATTGGATGGTTTTAATAACTATCCAACAGCAAGTGCACAATTAATAGGGAAAAATCAAATTGATTCTAGATTTAAAATAGAGTTCAAATTGGATGGATCAGGTTCTTGGTGTTCTTTCAGGTTTAGAATTAAGTAAATTGATTTTCAATTTCCTGAACAGGAAACCAAATAAGTTCTCATAAACAAGAATTAAATTCTATTATCGCATTTGCAACTTATTTCTAGGATCATATTGCTTGTATAAGAACCAAGTTAATTTAACTCAAATTCTCATAGACAAGAATTGAATTAAATTTCAACATTCATATACAAGGTGATCAATATCACATAGTCTATTATAATTAATCTCATACAATTATCTAGAAATTAATTGAATTTCAAAAACTAAACCCATACACTCAGGAACCCATAATCCTATCCCCAATTGAAACTCTAGATGGAATTAGCTACTCATGTTTATTGTTTAAGACTTACATCACAGTAATGTTATTAAGCACGATGAAGCACTAGATAAATAATTAATTAAAGTAGAAAGAAAAGAATGAGTTATTTAAATGGGAAATTCGGAAATTATTAATTGTAGAGGAAAAAGTATGAAATTCAATCCTAGAAAACAGTAAAGTATGAAAAACATATCATGACTACACAATAAATAAATCAGTCTCTAATCTTCAATTGTATAATCATTACATCGTTCTCTGATATTTTATTCTATGATTCTATCATTATTCATTATACTATCGGTGTGCGCACTACATGCGAACAGTGCCCAATGTGATTATTTAAAAATATTATTACAAAAGAGAATTATTCAAAAATTGAAGGAATTCAAATAGTATATGAAAAACGAGTTTAATTTTACAATGTTAGATTTTGTTAATTTGTATAAAGTGTAGAATATGTGGGAGATATTTTAGTTACACTACGAATGGAAATCAATGCAATGGTACTCATTTATTACACCTATTGCACCTTCTAAAACACAATATTGTAGAAGGAAAAATGAAACTTTTGTAAAAAATTATTCTTTGTTGGAAACAGAAAATAGTTATGCGATAAAAGAATGCAAAAAAATGATTTTATGAGAAAAAACTAAACATCATAAAAGCAAAGGGCAACTGTTGAGAATCTTATCTTAGTTCTTAGATACTTTTTTATGAAGATATTAATCTGTGTTTACAAAAACATTGACTAAGGCATTTTATCGAGCACTTTGTGGACATCAACAAACTGCGTAAGTAACATTGGTCATTGTTAATTGAAGCACTTGTGATTCAATACAAAGTGTAGGAATAAGATGCAGAAGCCGTTTAGAGACTTGTTGATAAGATGCAGAAGCCGTTTCTGTTAAGAGATTTTTTAGGCCTAGAAATATTTAGGATACATGAATTATATGAATAGGAAAGTGCACTGTTAATTTCATTACGAGACAGAAACGTAGGTATACATTAGAGATGCTACGTTTTCAATTGCAACAAGTGGATGGAATAGTTTCAAAGATAGAAAAAGTACCTGGTTTAAGGAATAGAAATAGCAACGGATCAAATGAGCACCTTGTAACCACTATGATGTATGCGTATAGACGTAGAGTATGTGGAAATAATTTGGCATTTGTTGATTTGTATAGATGCAGAGTTATGGGGAAGAGATGCTTGTAATTAATCGAAGATGACGATTACTTGTAAAGGCGTGAGGTTGGATGCAGGGCCGGTCCCAAGAAAATATAGACCTGTGCGACAATAAAATTCGGACTTTTTTTCAAGTTGCAACACAAGCAAAATCAACACATTTATATTATCAAATTTATATTATCTTAAAATACAAGTTACTAATAAATGTAGTGCTAAACACACTTACACATTTATTACAATTCAATAAACAATTCAACAATTCAATAATTCAATAATCAACAATTCATCAATTCATCAAACAATTCAATAATTCAAAAATCCCAAGAATTAGCAACCAAATGAATCCGAAAAACTGAAAATCAGTGGACTGACCGGAAGGGAGGCGGGTCGCGGAGTCGCGGTGGGGCAGTGGCGGCCTGGCAGCTTGCGCTGGCGTTGGTGGCGGAGCCGCAGAGGTCAACACCCAATCCTTCATCCTCCTTCCATTTTTCACGGCTTCACTCCAGAGGCGAGAGCCGAGCGCACTAGAGCAGCGGCGAAGTGGTCCGTTGAATCGTCGTACACTCGTCCTTCTTGCTTCTTCTGATTTCCGTGAGAAGTCGGGCCCTGGTGGTTTGCGGTGGCCAGGTGGCTTGCGGCTTTGTGGTTGGGGAATAATCGAGAATGGGGAGTCGGGGAGTTTGGCCTTGGGCTTTTGACGCAGGTTAATTGGATTTACGTTTAAGGCCAGATTTTGGGCTGGTAGTAATACTATTTTTTTTTGGCCTTCCAAAATACCGGGCCCTGTGCGGTTGCACTGGGCAGACTTGCCCTGGGCCGGCCCTGCCTTGAATGGAGATGGACGGAAAAAGAAGTGTAACAGGGAAGTTTGACGGAAAAAGAAGTGGTTTGACGAAACCATACTAAATTTAGCAATCACAGTGAGATTTTCCATATTTTCTTACTCCGTATTTGGCAAAGAAATCTACATCAAAATAGTGTCCTGTCAAAAAAGTGCCAAACAGCGTAATAAAGTGCCAAACAGTTTGAGAAACGGTGGGAGTATTATTTAAGTAAAGAAACTTATACGAGTAATTAATACTCCATCCATCCCAATTTGATAGTCTCGTTTCTTTTTGGCACAAAATTTAATAAAATGGTTGAAAAGGTACAAGTTGTAGTTGAGATTTGAGTAGAAAAAAGTGAAATGATGTAGACCACATATTTCTTTCCAAAAAGGGAAACAAGACCATCATTTTGGGACATCCCAAAAAGGAAATACAGGCTCATCATTATTTTGGACGGAGGAAGTAAACACTATTTTATTATCAATTAATTAATAATTAATAATCAAATACAATTACAAAACTAAAAAAATACTTCCCCCGTCCCATGTCCCGTTTTACCGCAGATTATACTATACATCCGGGTGTATATGTACACCCGGTTTTTAAATGACGTGGCAGCCATATTCGGTCTTTTCTTTCTCTTCTTCAGCCATTCTCTTTTCTTTCTTTTCTTCCAGCGTTCTCTTTCCTTTCTTTTCTTCCGCCATCCTCTTTCCTTTCTTTTCTTCCGCCGACCTCTTTCCTTTCGTTTCTATTTTCTGCCGCCATCCATTTTGATTCTATTTTCCTTATTTGCTTCTTTTCGTTTCTTTTGTTGTTTAGTTCTTCTTTTTTCTACATTATACTAAGCAAATTAGAAATGAGTTTTATCTTAAACTCAAATGAGTAAAACGTCTAAAAAATGAACATACATAAATGAGCTTTTGAATTTTTGAATACTCATTTTGTAAATTATGTATACTCATTTAGTATATCTGTTGTGCTCAATTTTAAAATGTTTTAGCAATGCTCATTTCAAAAGTCTCATATTACATTATTAGATTTATATAAGAGTTGATTATAGACACGAGACCACAAATCATGATACTCAATCGCAGATTCTAATACTCAATAACGGAGGTTTGATGCTCATTGAAAATGTCTTGATGCTCAACGAATAAAACTTATATTTTCCATATCAATGCTCATCTTGTAAGTTACATATGCTCATTTGTATAGGTCTGATGCTCATTAAAAATTCATTAATGCTCATTTAATACAAATCATTATTTTCATCTCAATATAGGAGGTTTGATGCTCAATGAAAATATAGTGATGTCCAATTAACACGATTTTTTTATCAATGCGCATTGTGTAGCTACACATGTTCATTTGGTACTAATTTTATGCTCATATGTAAAATGGCATATCAATGCGAGTGTAAAATGTTCAACGAAAAATTTACAATGTTCATATCGATGCTCAACTTGTAAGTTACGCATGCTCATTTGTATAGGTTGAATCCTCATTAAAAAGTCATTAATGCTCATTTTACAGAAATCATGATTATCATCAATCTCAATAGAGGATGTTTGATACTAGTGCTGGACTCGGGCCGGTTCAGGCCCGGTTCGGGCCTGGGCCCGGCCGGGCCTCGGGCCAGGAAAGGGAGGCCCGAGCCCGAACCGCCGGTGGCCGGTTCCGGTCCCGGTTCCGGGCCAAACCGGGCCGGGCCGAACCGGGCCGAACCGGCCCAATTAATTTTTTTTTTTGTTCTCCTATTTAATCCCCTACCCCTCCCCCTCAACCCCAAACCATCCCAAACCACCTCAAATGGCCCAAAATACCTAATCCAACCTAAAACTTAAAAAAATTTCAAAAAAAAAAAAATTAATATCCGGCCCGGCCCGGGCCCGAACCGCCCAGCAGCCGGGCCGGGCCGAACCGAACCGGTGGACCCACCGGGCCCCGGGCCGGGCCAAACAGTAACCGGGCGGGGCCAGTTCCGGGCCGGGCCGCCCGGCCCGAGTCCAGCACTATTTGATACTCAATGAAAATGTCGTGATGTTCAAATAACAAAGCAGCTAACAAATTCATTAATACTCATTTTGTAAGTTACGTATGCTCATCTGGTAGAGATTTTATGCTCATTTTCTAAATGTCATATCGATGCATTTTTTAAAGTACTATCTTACATTAATTCACATATTGAAATTCACAGGAGTTGATTATAAATATAATTTAATAAAATTTTATAAAAGAAAAAATAACAAAAAGAAAGTGAATTAGAAGTTATGAAGCGGAGATCAAAATTCTCAATATTATACTCCTAATACTCAACAGAATGGGTATGATGCTCATTAAACGTTTATTATTGCTCATTCACTAGAAACTGTGAATTTCATCTCAATAGCGGATGTTTGATGCTCAAATATTAAATGTGAATATATAAAACGTGAAATGAGTATCAAAAAGTTCAAAATGAGCATTACGCCAATATGCATGGATATGACATTTAAGTTGTCTCGTGTAATACTCATTTTAAAATGAGCATTACACCAATATCAAATGACATATCTAATTTACGAAATGAGCATAGAAAAAATTTAAAAGCTCATTTAAAATCTCGAGTATGCTTAAATATCAATTTGTTTATTCAGTATGCTCAACAGAATAGGTCTGGTGCTCATTAAAAGTTCATTATTACTCAATCTCCAGAAGTCGTGATTTTCATCTCACTAACAACATATAAAAAAATCATAAACATATTTATATAAAGTAATAGTATGATTCATAGATCAAATAAATACTTCAAAAATATGAATTAGTCTTTTAATATAGTAATAATGAGCAAAAGAATAGTTAATGTTATAATTACTATTAATAATACACAGTATGAAACTATATAGGATAAGTAAAATAAATGAACTAATTAGCTTAACAAGATAAGTTAGCGAGATGGTTGGAATGTCGCTTATCCTACTTCATGTTGCGGGATCGAATCCCGCTGGGGTTTTTAATTTTTTTTTAGTGAAGAAATTCAGTTCCTTGTGGCCGCGATTCGCTGGGAGCCCACCAGTCAAATTTAATAATTGGGCTGGATGTACGTACACCCGGGTGTACGATATAGGGACTCCCGTTTTACCATATTGGATGTCCCTATTTAAATGTTCCATACCTTATTTGGTAAAGTTGTGTGACTCAAAATCATACTTACTTTATTCTTACTTACCAATTAATATCAACCACACAAACCCACTTTTCTTAAAACTCGTATCACTTTCTTCCGGACATTTAAAAGGGGACGAAGGTAGTACATTATATTAAAAGAGCGTTAAAGAAATAGAGTATACCTAGAGAGTGCAGGCTGGAGGGCTGAAATCCAAAGTCCACGGCGGCACGGCTAGATAGTGGTGACTGGAGTGCGGGGTGCTGGACGCCTGGACGCCTGGACTGCGCTGGGACGTAGGAACTGGACGATTGGACGGCAGGCGGCGTCGCGTCTGATGGTCACAGGTCGGGTGATGTTCCGTGTTTGTGAACTTCGCCTTCTCGCAACTCGCGCATCACAGTTCGCAGGAGCCAAGAGGCCACATGTCGGGCATTGGGTAATAAGTCTGATAGACTTGGGCTGGGATGGACCGAACATTAATTTAGGGTGGGCTAAGCATTAAACTATACCTATACTAAAGCCTACGCTTGCCCTCACAATCCGCTCCTGGTCACCCTGTCCCGGGTAAATTGCACAGAACCACCTGTGTTATATAAAGTCTGCGCGGTATACCCTTATGTTTTAAAAAATGCACGAAAAACATCTATGATTGTCAAAATGATGTGAGAGTTCCCCGTTAACGGAAAAATAAGTATGTTTGTCTTGCACACGCTTATTGTGCGTTTTTGCAAACAGTTTTGCTATTTGGCCTTAGTAAATACTGTATCAATTTTTCCCTTTTGTGCTTGTATATAGTAAAATACTGTGTAGCTTTCTTTTATTTATTCATTAGCTCGATGTACAATATATTATTATAATTAGTGACAACCTGTGTTAGAATGTGGAGCATTTGCTTTCATTGCCTCAATGAGTCCTTTTTGTCTATCAGAAACAAAAGTCCAGTTGTGTTGCTCTGCCGAACCTATATCTCTCAACAACAAATTCAAGAACCAATCCCAACCATCAAACTTCTTCACTTCCACGTATGCCATAGCTATAGGGTACATATTATCGTTTCCATCCCTTCCTACTGCCGTCAATAATTGTCCGCCATATAATGCCTTTAAGAATTGAAGCATCCATCCAAGCCTATGATAGGTCTACATCCACTCAACCATGCTTCCTTCATTATATTGCAGCAATACACATATACATTCTCTGCAATTTTGGTGGACTAAGAGATCTTTGGACCTTCAGGATTAGTGAACTTTTTTGGATTGTGCTTCTCTACAGTGGCACAATAATCATAGAGCCTCTTAAACTGCATACTGACGTCAGTTGTAAGCAAAGATAGTGCATATCTCTTAGCTCGATAAACTTTATGAAAACTAACTTCAACTCCGCACTCTCTTTTTATTTTATTCTTTAGAGCTTCCAAGCTGCTATTAGGATTATCTCTAACATCATTTAACATCCTCTACCCAAGGTACTTGTAATCTGCTCGATTATTCTCCGTCCTAAAGGAACAAGTGTGTTTTCCAATAAGAGTTTTAACTTGGAATATTGTCGTTTTTTTAACGACTGAAGCTCTCAGTTTCCAGTCACAACCACCCTTGCAAACAACAGTTATAAATTTGGCTTCACATTTCGGGTATTTCAGGTCATACCCTTTCCTAACAGACCAATCCTTAAGA